TAGAAAAATCTGACTATGTTACGTTTGTTCTCACTGTAATTATCACGAAGAGCTAAGCCAGAAACAATGATGCCAGTTAACCCTTATAATTAAACTCACCTTGAGATCTTAATGGGTAAACTAAGGGTAAGAGGGCCAAGGGAAGTGACTGGGATGGGATGAGGGGGGGTAATGGTAGATATATTAATGGGAAAGAAAGATGGTATGAGGGTCAGGGGAATGAAATGAAAAGCTGTGGTCCCCAGAGATACAATTTCTAGAAAACTGTAGTACCCGGAAAAACCCTGCCGTGTTTAGTAGCACGCGTCATACCGGATTAACATCCTTCTCCCATCTGACCCAGGCCGGGAACCCAGGACTTAACGGTGAGAGGTAAGCCAGAAGTCACCGACGAATGAGATGAAGAATCGTTCTAAAGTTTGAAACAATTTGAAGTTTTCTACACCACTTAATTCTCAAAATAATGTACACATAATAATGTATCTTTTCACATTTTACCTGACCTTCCCTTTAACCTGTCTTAACCAATAACTCAGGATATAAAGTTGTACTACATCCTCTTTCAATGTGAGATAATTTACAAACTCGTCACGGTAAAATGTTCTAATGCCTGTTTTGGATTTGCGTGTTTCAACGGCCAGGGTCCTCCAATCATCGTTCACTAAGTCTTATCTCTTACACCGTACAACAACCAACTCTAAAAAAAAATAAAATAAAAATACGTTATGTCAAATTCTTCAATCGTAAACAAGTTGGTCCCACAAGAGGTATACTGTAGTCCGCCCTTTCACCCTACACTTTCTTTGACCAGGAAATGAAAAGGAGTAACTATGGTAATTTGAATCGCCGCAAAAGGATAATAATTCTTGTTTGTTGATGAAAATCCCAACTAAATTCGTTTTCCAAAGCTGTAAACAGTGTAGACAGACAGACAGACAGGTATATAAATGGGTAGATATATATTTCTACTCAACTAAAATTCGTCATATACTGTATATCCACAAATGGTTCAGACACATACAATGGTACCTAGTTTCACGATCTAAACTTCTAAACACATACATACATACCAAGAAAGCAACAAAATACATAATAGGTAAACCATAACAGAAAAATAATTAAATTCGTGCGAAATACAATGGAGCAAAATCTTAAGAAAAACTAATTAAAAAACACAAACTGGCCCACAAAGACTATATATGCCAGCCCTGTGTACAATGTATATAAGACCTTAAGTTTGAGGTCTTAACTGCTTGAAGGATTATAGTGGATTTCTCCCCTACAAACGCTGTTTGTCGCTGAGTAGCCGACCCCGCGAATTCCAGTGTATGCCTCGTGGTCTGGGTCAACCAGCGCCGCCATACATCACGGAGGTCAACTACTAAGCCACGCCTAGCCCCGCTATTTAAGACCTGACCTCGTGGTGCCCTCCCTCTTCTTCTAGCTACTGCAGCAGCAAGCAACACCACCTCCTCCGCCGCTGCCTGGCGGCCCTCGCTCCCGCCGGCGAGCATGGCGACCCACAAGCTGTCCTCCTCTGAGCATCCTCACCAACCAGCTCTCTCTACATCAAGCTTGTAACCACGCTGCCACTTCCCAGCACCAAGCTGCATTGTACATCCAATATAACATGTATACAGAGAGCACATCGTGATTTTTGAGTCTCGAACACAAATAACCGGTACCCCACAAATGGTGACCCCCGGAGATTCGCACTCACACAGGATGGAGGAGAAACAGATCACGCTCCCAGTCTTCAAGCAACATGGAAGACTGGCTTATCCACACAGAGGCAGCTCTCATCGGCTCTACAACTACTGTCTCTACATCGCAGGTTAGACACCCTAGAGCAGCTCTGCTACTCTAAGCAGAGCTGCTCCTCTTCCTGCCCCAAGCACCACGTCCTACTGACCCCAACACACCCGTCCTGCCTCAGACGCCGCCCCCGGCCCAGCAGTACCCCCTGCCGCTCCTCCTGATGCAGCCCCTGCTCCCGACGCGGCCCATGCGCCTGAGTGCGGACCCACACACCCCTCTTTTCTCCCTCAGGTACTCCCTGCTACTGCCCGGCACCCTGCTGCTGTCGTGGACCCAGCTGCTGTCACGAGCCCTCATCCGCTTCTGCTGACGCAGCCCCTGCTCCTGACCCAGGCCCACACACCCCAGCAGGCGCATCTGACGACTCTGTACCTGCCGTGAGGGAAGCAAAACATTCATCGCCTCCACACACCCTTTTCCTCCCTCTCTACTCCCACAGATATTGTGTATCTAGACAGTTGTCTCCTCTAGCGGCCGGCTCATCCACGCCATTGCCGTTATGGCTCAAATGTGGCATGCACCGCCCGTTCTGCCTCACATGTGCCATGCAACCCTGCAGACAAGTCTCCTACACCGCCTGGAGGGAAGGAGGGAGTATTGTAGTGGATTTCTCCCCTACAAACGCTGTTTGTCGCTGAGTAGCCGACCCCGCGAATTCCACAGTGTATGCCTCGTAGTCTGGGTCAACCAGAGCCGCCATACATCACGGAGGTCAACTACTAAGCCACGCCTACCCCCGCTATTTAAGACCTGACCTCGTGGTGCCCTCCCTCTTCTTCTAGCTACTGCCGCAGCAAGCAACACCACCTCCTCCGCCGCTGCCGGCGAGCATGGCGACCCACAAGCTGGTCCTCTTCTGAGCATCCTCACCAACCAGCTCTCTCTACATCACGCTTGTAACCATGCTGCCTTCCCAGCACCAAGCTGCATTGTACATTCAATATAACATGTATACAGAGAGCACATTGTGATTTTCCTTTCTCCAACCATCCTGAGTGTGAACCCGAACTTCCCATACCCCACAGGTAACCCAATCTCTTCTGTAAGGTGATTCCATAAGCTGGTTATCTTTTTTATTAGTGAATGGACTGTACTAACAAGTATACAGATGATAGTATAGTACCGTAACTAATTTGTCTATCTAACCAATGATACCCCAGAGATAAATTTATTATTTTGATAGGAATTAAGAAAAACTATGACATATACAGTAAACTGTATTGTTATAAACAGTCATTGGCGGTTTAATATGCTTTTCCTTATAAAAAATGTTATTCAATTTTCTTCTTAATTTATCAGTCCTCTCCATGTGTAATGGCTGAATGCCAACCAGGAGTACAGTACTTGTTAGTTATGTACAGTATACAGTACATATTGATAAGTAATGGTCTGCTGTACCGTACAGCATTGGCATACTTGCCTCTCAATATTGCGTCCTGGGTTCGATCCCAGATTGGATATAATGGTGCTGTCTAGTGAGACCCTATACTGTACGACATCTAACATGATAGGGTTTCTCCAGGGACAACAAGTTTTAATTTCATTTGTCCAACCTGGCCCTCCTACTCTACAGTATAACCACAAATATATCTACAATTACCCCCCCCCCCTCCTTCTGTCTGTTTTTCTCCTTCTCACTCACGTATATGGAATGGAACGAAACTACATTCACATCAGCATTGGCTACTCCAGTAGATGTAGTTTGGCTAACAAGTTGACTGATGCCCGGATGAACCACATTCTCTACAACACTACTATAGTACCGTCCAGATGGCAATAATTGTTACTTACACGGCTATACACTAATATAAACAAGGAAAACAGGTATTGTTTTTACCTACCTGTATCAGGTTCCAGTTAGGCATAACACCTGAAATCAAAGAGTTTAAACTGCATACCCTTTATGTGAGAGTCCAACACTTATGGGAGGAAACACATACAGTTGTAATCTAGAACTGGAAAAAGAGGCCAAACAACCCAATTGCATACACAAGAGTCAATCTAATATAACTAACAGATCTCCTGACTACACTACAGTACTTTCTCTTAAGGTCTTAAACAGAGCAGTCACAAAATACAGTTTCCTATAAATGTTCCTTAAAATCAATCCAGAGAGGTTTCCCCTAACTCTAGACTTGACCCCAGGAAATGAAACCATCAAAACACTGACTAGATCACTTACCGGGTACTTTAAGATCAGATGATGATAACCCTGGACACCTAGCAGATGATATCGCCTCTCACTACCAAGTTGAATCTAAATTGGATTGTAAACATACCTAAATTAGTTCTTGTACCATGAAAATGAAAACAGAACAATAAATTTCTATGACAAATTTACTAAATATCTATCTAACGCATAATTTCCTAAAGCATATTAACACTGAGAAATTGTAATCCCAACAAAACACCAAAATATACAGTACTTGAATAATTGTGACAACACATGTATCTGTAGAAATGCAGAGTGAACAGTGGGCCAGTCAACTCAAGTGTGTGGGGGTGGCTGGGAATAAATGGGGGTTGATGTTTGTAACCCCATTGTGGACAAGCTTGGATGAAGGTGTGAGGTGCACCCTAGCTGATACTGTACCATGTCATGTGCTTGGTTTCCTCTTTACCTTTTATGACATTTGCAGTAGGTGAGGACAGACTAGTTGTAGGATTAATCCCAGTCACTCATGCCACAGCTCTTAAGTCTAAACCAATATCCCGGTGATCAAATGACTTACAGAACTTTATCCTCTTCACCACTGATTGGTCTGTTAGCAGCTTGGGTGGTCAGTCACATCACTGTTACATATTGTTGGCAAGTACTGGCTCCAGAATATATCAGAACTTGTGCCACTGTTGGTCAAAACTGGTCTTAAATTTATTCACACTCAATACTGTCATAATGCTCTCTGACAGGTTAATACAAGAGCTGTCTGATGAAGGATGACTGGACATAGAGACAAACAACTCCTATCTACAATATCTTTAAATCTATTCCCTAACTTTCCATGTTCCATTTTAATTATTCAAGTAGATTTGTCTCAGTCAACTATTCAAATAAACCATGAACATCAAAGTGGGTTTCAGTTACACCAAGGAGCTACAACACCTTTTAATTTTTTCTGTTGTCGTATCTTAAACTATAACCTACGAGGCAGGTACTTAATAAAATAAATAAAAAAGGTACAGTTAAGGGTATCAATTTACTTATTGCCCATTTTGTAGCAAGTTTTCATTTCTAAATTTTATGATACTTGATACATAATATTGAATTACATATATGGTCTGAAATCACAACAAAATAATTATCTGAACTACAGTACTGTACTAGTATACATACTACACATTATTCCTTATACCCCTGTATGAGTGCATGCATTTACAAAATAAGTCCATATAACATGAGAAACACAATGCTTTATACCATTGCACATTATACTTAGAAGTGCATATACAGTACTGTATACTTCTATTTCCTACAAATGTTACAATCCAACTTTCAACTCCTTGAACACAAAAACATCCTGTCCTGAGCTAAAATTGGATACTGTTGTTATATTTCACACTCATGCTGGGTACTTTGGTTTCACACAGGGTGAGTCATAAGTCACATACCACTTTTTCCAATGGTTTATACCACAGGGGTCAGTCACCAACAGATGAAAATTACCATTGGACTTACATTTCACCCTGTATGCATAATATCCACCCAAGATACAAGTGGCTGAGGATTCACTTTGTATATTGAATTTGCAAGTTGATGATATTTAGCATAACTGGTGAACATCTGTACTTGTCTTAACCATTTCTTATTTTATACACTTGCTTCTTCTTCTTCTGAGGTCTCTCTAAAGGAACCTACTGGAAATAAACATCTGATGGGTCTGTCAAATATCCTTGAGTGAATTGCCTTAATGTTTACTAGTGTTGCATACCTGTACTGTCTACATACACCATATACAGTAGTGGCATTGTCTATATATAAACCAAGCCAATTGTAAACATGTATAACTGTTTGATGAATAAATTATTTTTATTATTATACTGCTTCATCTCACCCAAACAACTGTGGAAGATTAGTAAATATAATTGACTGGTTACTAATTTCAATCCTCATGTTTTCCCTCCTTTCTGAGTTTCTATGTACAGTAGTTTTCCTTACCTATGATCTCATCTTGTATCACACACTGTACTGTACTTGACCTGAAATGGCAGCTAAGGATTCCCCACTCCACCCCCATGTGTAAAAATTGAACACAAAAATCTTGAAACACCAACCACCATCCCTACAGCTATTGTCCACTGATGTAAGCCACTGTTCCTACAGCCACCGTCCCTACAGCCAACATCCACTAGGGATGACCACCGTCTCTACAGCCATGTACAATGTTGATAGCCAACGTCCACTGATGATGGCCACCATCCCTACAGCCAATGTCCAATGATGACCACTGTCCACTGATGATGGCCACTGTCCCTATAGCTAATGTCCACTGATGATGGCCACCATCCCCAGAGCCAATGTCCACTGATGATGGCCACCATCCCTAAAGCCAACATCCACTGATGTTAGTACTGTTTAAAAGCTAAGAAACAGAAACAGCCAGACTGAAAGAAAAAAAGATGACATAGGCTAAAGTCACTAACATGTTCTACGACCCAGAGAAAACCAAAGGGCTTGTAATCTTTCAGTGACTATGACAATACTGTTCCTCTTTCCTTCATATTCCCTTTTTCTTTCAGAACTCTGGAGGTTCAACTATAAGGGAAAAACTATCTAGTGTATCAGTCTGATCTAGCCAAGCTGTTGCAATTCTAAAAGTTAAATTGACGAGTAGAGTTCAACTCTGCTACACATCACACCATTCACTTGTCAAAGGCCATAAAACAATTTTAGGGTCGATTCTTCATTTCCACAGGACATAAAAAACAGATTTCAGGATCAAACCTGCATCACAAACATAAAATCTAAAGGTTAATACGGAGGTTCTAATATACAAATTATAAGGTTTATATAATAAAAAAAAAAAAAATCCTCATCAATCACAAGTACAATACAGTATACTGTACATGTACACACGCTCCACAAAGTATCTTCACGAGTTTGTGTTAGACAATATGACAACGGACGAAGGATTTTGACAACCCTAATGAGACAACAAGAGCCGAGGTGTTCATTTTGAAATTCATCAGACCCCTCCGAAAAGATACCTCCTGGAGCGAGTGTACCTTTCTCTACCACTAAATTATCATCATTCACCTACATATGAAATATGTATAATTATCAATAAAAAAAATTTATATTTTAACCACAGCATATAAAAACTTTCAGTCAATAATATTTAATTGGCATTTTGGAAGTGGAGTCATCATAATCACCATTTTAAGGGCATTTTTCACATTTGCCTGGGTCAGCCATTGTGAATTTGATGTATATTAAAATTCTTCCCATCCATAGTCCAATGATTGATTAAAGGTTATAGCTACAGATTACTACATCCCATTACAATAATCATATACTAGGTTTCCTTGAACTAAACTATTCACTAGTCTTCATTAAGATAAGGTTACTATTTTCTGCTATTAGTTGAGTTTGGTCAATACTCCTGGAAAGAATTAATATAAACATTGGTCACAAAAGTTCCACTACAGTGTAATGATGTATTGTGCTAAGGTTTAACAAATGCCTGGCCCTGTAAGCCACTGTACGGCCCTGTGAACCTTCGTACAACAGTGCCCGCCTCTGAGCTAAATAAAATTGTCTGTACATAGTATTAGTCAAATAAAATGTCAAAAAGGTGTCTGTAGTGAAGGGGTTAGTGGAGATAGTCTTATCAACCCCTTGTGTAGTGTTGCCTCTAAGCTGAATAAAATCGTCTGTATTAGTCACATATTAAAAGCGGAGACCCCGCAGTAAATGGGTTAACATTAGCTGCAATACAACTAATGCTTTACCAAGTACACACAGCCCCAAGTGAAGGAGGGGGACTGTCACCACTTTTAGTCCTCCTTATTCTTCCTCTTCTCTACAAACTGACTCTCAAGTTCTGATCTAACATAAGCTATAAGTAGTGAAAGCGAGAGCAAGGCAGCTTCTTGGAAATGTTGTGCCATGTGTACAAGGATCACCCTGACCTATGTTTCCCACCATTCATTCATTACCCAGCCACTGTGTACATCTCCACAAGATGTGTAATGTTAGAATGTGGAGAGGTTATATGTGTGGATTCATATTTGTACCCCTGTTCAGTGAACATATCCAACAAGAATGACAATTATCTTAAGGAGGATTAAGAGAATTGGGGGATATTGTTTTGTGCTTCTGGAAACATAACCCAATTTTCACACACACACACACACACATATATAATTCACCATCCACAATTACTCCACAGATTAGGCAGGAACTATAGTATTATAGTGAAATACTTTCATGAACATCAATGTATCTCAGAAACGACATTATTAAAAGCCATTAACCTTTGTCCTCTTTTGCTTTATCTGTGTTGTCATGGTAGTCATATCGTTCACAATTCACTTACACTGTACTTATTTTTCTAAGGGAGATGATAACAGCTATTTTCTTGTTACTTACATTTCCTCTTTTACACTCCACACTGACAAATGGAAACTGCCTTTCTTTTGTTCTAGATACACAACATAGGTATTATCTATAACAAAAAAAAAAAAAAAATCACTCTTATGTCAAATGTGTACTTTATGTAACAACCATACAGTAAATTATCCATAAATCACCATCTCAATAAACTGTACATTAAATGTTTTGTCCACCATAATGTTTACTTTACAGTACGGGGGACTGAATAATGACAGGTGTGGGCAAGTGAGTGAGTGTTCTCAATGGTCAAAATTAGTTGTCAGGTGATATTAACACAAACTAATTTCAAGTTTAAATTTTTAGCTGTTTTTGTATACCCACACTGTCTAGGTATGCTGGAAATTGTATACTGTACCTGCATGGTCCTTGTACACTATACACCTGCATTGTTTATATGCATGCTGAACCGACTGCAAACTAGTATCACAATTTTACCCAATAAAATATTTACATACAATACTGTCTACTGTGTCCATAGCTTAGTACTGTATACAATATGTATGGTGTACTAATAAGTATGCATGACAGCACTATAGCAATATACTGTATACAGTACCAAGTACAGTATATTTCATTGCAAGTGTATTAAAAGTGTATTAAATGTTCTTTCGCTATGCGAGCACAACACAAAATATATTTCATCTTGTCGAGTAATTCATCATGTACACACATTTACTTCTGTGTTCTGTATAGTACTCCGTTGTTGTTCTTTTAATTTTTCATTACAACTCGACTAGTGAACGTAGGAAAAAAAAATCTCGGATGTTCATCCCTACAAACCAACTCATGGAGACGTCAGAGTACAGTATTATTGAGCAAAGGGTTTTAATAATTCATAAAAGGTAATTCAACACTTGACTGTCAATAAATACACCCCATTAAAGACTTAGGAAGTACTGTATGTGTGTTTAAGCTGTTGTATCTAAAATATAGGTTACAGCTCAACCAACCTAAAGATACAGGTAATAACAAGAGGCAATGTGACTACCTACCATTGAAGCAAGTGCAAAAATCAACAAAATAAAATAGCTGAAGTCTGTACTTCACAGAAGCAAATTATACAAAAAATTATGATATTCTTGAAGACAAAGTATCCTTCATCTTCATTAAAAAATAACATACCAAACTTATAACATAAAATAAGTTTATGGCTAAGTGAATTAATTGCATAAAATCAGAATGTTTCTATAACAAAATATCTGGCTCAATGGATTCCTCAGTTCAAGAACCTTTGAATAACAGCTCTGACAGTATGTGCATCCTCTTATGTAAACAAACACTGTCTCTCCCAGTAACAATAAATAAATAAATACTTCACTAAGTTTTCAATATATCATTAAAACTACCATAAAAAAAAATTATAATTTTTTTCACACCAAAACCCAAGGAAGGGTAACTTGGTTTTTATATTGCTTTTGTGATCATTGTCGACATTCAGGAACAAATACAAGTATAACTTGTTCTACAGGCCACATTTAGTTGACTAACAATTATTATTAATCCCAGTATTGTCTGTCGTCATCCAAATAAAATTTTGTACCGAGGGGTTAATAAAAGAGTGCTGTATTGTCACAGTGTCGAAGTGTATGAACACCTCTGGGCCCAAGGTGTTCAACTGTACTGATTGTGTATATGTTCATTTGCTTTATGTTCATTTATACGATTTGCTCTTAGTGCCACATTGTTATCAGTCACTCAACAAACAAATGAGAAATATCAACAGACTTTTAATGCAGTGACACACAGACCACAGGTCTGTGGAAGTTAGCTGCAAGGATGGCGGCCATCATCTGTGGAGGTTTCGTGTTTCATTTTTACACATGTGAGGGGAGGGGGAGTGGTGAATCCAAAGCCACCAATTAATGTGGATGAAAAGCTGAGCTTGTCACTTGGCTGACAACCACTATATGTCTTCTGGGTATGTGTGATACAGTTCGTGTATGTAGTGTGTTACTGTGAGAGTAATATTGGAGATGCTTATAAAAAACTGAGAAAGAACCCCACTGGAAATAAGGCAATTTTATAACCATTTCCATGCTTGCATGGGTTAGCCAGTTACCTGATGGCAGCTTTCCATGCTGCACAGTCTCTCTGCCAGGTTCCTAACTCTAATATAATTTCTTACAACCTCTCCCCATGTAATTTTTGGCTTACTCCGGACTCTCCTCCCCTCCACATTTTAGCTCACTCTTTCTACAAGTCCAAACCATCTCAACCTGGCTCTACACAGGATTCACCAATACAGCACTCTCAATACTCAGTTGCTGTCTTAGCTCTGAACAGGGCCTCCTGTCTTTCAGTGACACATTACACATTCACCTCACAATTCTCATTTCAGCTCACTCAGGTCTACTTATGTCACTCTCTTTATCTGCCCATGTTTCATTGCCATACATCACACTTATCACAACATCCTCAGGCATTATTCCTTTCACACGGAGGAAAGGTCCTCTTGCCGTCAATAAAGGCGTTATCTATATGTATGTTGAACTGTGTACCTGCATGGTCTGTTTACTGTACACGCTGAACAAACTGTAGACTTGTACAGTAAGATGATTTTACCGAACAGATATCTGTCTATCATTTTCAACACATTTTGCCAGGAGAGCCACAAAAAGAGATTGGGTTAAAAACAAAGTTGTCTGCCCATGGCCAATATGGAATAACACATAACAGCTCAACTAATGACACCACTGAGAGTAATCCATCAAAATAGAATCTCTTATCCAAGAAACTCTTTTAATAATAGTAACAATAATTACTGAACACAAAGCTATGTTGACTTTTAACGAAGAAGATAATGAAGAGAGAGCGACAGTGAGAGTTAACATGTAAAGACAATGTTCAAATAAAAGTTATCAGTCTTAAAGAACTTACAGCTCAACACAAAATATATCACAACAAATGGATCATGTACATTAACAATTATAGCTACAGGAAGAATAGACCCCCAATACTGTACACTACCCAATCACTTAACTCTGAAGGAAACTACAACTTCCTCACGTGATATAACTTAAAAGAGACTCATCTAACATATCCTCCTTTTAATCATCTACAAACTAATATTACAAAAAAGTAAAAATAAAAGTGAGTACTGTAATATTAATCTCAATACATTAACAATGGTTCAAAATGTTATCTACGTACTGTGCTGTGCTGTAAAGGATTCTCACATTTCTCACTGGCTTACATACCTGGACAAACAACTACTCTGATCTGCAGGTTTGGTTTTTGTTTTTTTGTTTTTTTTGAGGGGTAATACTGATCAAATTAACTGATGGATATATTTTCTTAGTCTTCATCGGGACATTCCAAGATGTTCGAGTATAATAGCTCCAGGTAGTTCTTACAGGTGCTAGGAAACTTCAATCTGATGCAACTGCAAATTTAAAACATAAATCAATGTAAACATTTTACGTTTCAGTATAAGTTATAGACCTTATCTATCAACATGTGTTATTGACAACTTAATAATCTAATCTTTCAACATGAGTTACAGATAAATTAATAATAATCCTAGGCTTCAATATGGATTATAGACATGAATTCACAAGCCCAGCTTATTTCTTCTAAAGATTAACCACCACAATACTATCCTAACCTTATCTAACCCAATGCTAACCTAATCTTACCTGTCCTAACCTATGACCCACATAAACACAGCATAATTCACTGGCTGAATGCAAAAAGGGCCAATGTCTAAAAATGCCAATTTAGACTTGGGCCAAGAAACCTGGGTTATATGGGCCAAAATCTAAATTGAAATTTTTTTTACTTTGGCCCTTTTTGCACTCAGCCAGAGAATTATAGGTCTATCTATGCTATGAGGATGAGCTACATGAACAGTCACATAACCTGACTAACAGACAAGATAAATATACTTCCTCTATATCTGCTGGGTAATGTATATACAGTGGGGTATGCTATAACGAATCTAATTGGTTCTAGAACCTTGTTCGTTATAGCATTCGTTCGTTATAGGATTAATCCGTTCCAGGCCCCCAAATACAACCACTTAACACTGAAAATATAATATAAAATTGTAAAAATTGTAAAAAAGTGCATAAATATGCATCTAAACCCCTGAAATAAAGAATATCATTAATACTTATAATAAAAAAACAATAAATTAGTATAAAAAAAAAAAAAAGATGATAATAATAATAATGTTTGTTGTAGGAGTTTCGTTCGTTATAGCATTCTCAATTTTATAGGTAAAACCGTTCGTTATAGGAATATTCGTAGTAGAATCCATTCGTTATAGTATACCCCACTGTAATTATGAAATACTGTAGTTAGTTAGGATCTTAAAACAAGCCAACAGGTGTATAATTATAATTCTAACATTAAGCCATGCTGGTTATCCCCATTTCAGACATTACTGTACAGTATACAGTATACTTGAGAGGAAAGTTTTGGGTGAGGGAGGGACTACAGTAATATCCGCATTAGCTGGAATCTTCAGTGCCTGGAGGTTTCCGTTATCCAAAAAAATAAAATTTTAGCATTCCAAGAAAAATCTCTCCGTTCGGACATTTGAATAAATTTCAGAAAAAGTGCATCATGTGTCAACATGCTCAGAGTTCTCATGAGCTATGATTGGCTCATGTGACTGCATGGGATGCCTATGAATGGCTGATGTATCTCACAGCTTATCTCCTCAAACTCCAGCATCATGACATTCTTAGTTCATTGTCTGTTGCCATTGTACACGCTTGTTCACTCGCTCATTGGTGTTTTCGCATACAATCTGTGTTGTGCAGTACTGCATAATACTGTACCAGGATACAATTAGGCCAAGAATACTGTTAAAGCAATTTTAAGACATAAAAAGTGATCACAGTTATGTATACTATACTGTACATCCATTAAGTGTGAAAGTACCAAATACAGCAACTCCCCGACTTACGACCTACGACCACCCACACTTACGACCTGCCTCAGTCGGTACGACCACCCTCACATACAACCGCCGCAGTCGGTACCAAAATTTTTTTCAAATGACGCGTGTACTGTATTTTCTAGACCAAAATGTTTCCGTCCCATACCAGAGCATTGAGTGGCTTGGGTCGCCTCGTGGCTACAGCACCCACTTCTTAGAGCGCTTAGTTGGTGTTTGGCTGTTGTTGTATCTGCAACTAATAGCGCTGTGTACTGACATTATTTTCGCATCTAATTCACTTTAGAATGACTGGAAAGCGTAGAAGTGAGAGTGCTGGTGGTGCTCAGAAGAAAAGGAGACAGTCAATTACTTTTGAGATGAAAATGAAGATAATAATGCAGCATGAAAATGGAAAAACTGTAGCAACCATTTCACGCAACCTAGGCTTCTTGCACTCGACCATATCTACTATTTTGAAGGACAAGGAACGTATTTGTGAGCTAGTGAAAGGATCAGCACCGATAAAGGGAACTATAATAACGAAGAAAAGACAAGGTCCCATTCATGAGTTGGAAAAATTACTTGTGATATGGATGGAAGACCAGATACAAAAGCGTGTACCCTTAAGCCTTCTAACCCTACAGGCTAAGGCAAGAAGCCTTTTCGAAAGCCTGAAGGAGCAGGAAGGAGATGAGTGCAACCAAACCTTCAGAGCAAGTCATGGGTGGTTTAACAGATTTAAGAACTGCTACAGTTTACATAATGTAAAGGTGAGTGGAGAGGCAGCGAGTGCTGATGTTGGTGCTGCCGAAGCTTTTAAGGAGGAGCTAGATCGTGTCATCGTGGAGGGAAATTATTTGCCTGAGTAAATAATCAATGTGGATGAAACTGGATTACAGGTTGACAATCCTTTATCCGAAATCCTTGGGGCCAGAGGCATTTCGGTTTTCGGAATTTTTCGGTTATCAGAATGGTTAGGGTTATTTTTTTTTTTTTGTGTATTAGCCCACCCGGGCATAGATCACTGACCCACATTGGGGCCTGGGGATCTAAAATATAATAAAAATTATAATAATAATAATAATAATTCATAGGTCTAGGTCGTGTTTCTCACTTTTGATCTTTTTTTCATTCTTGTATTTCTTTACTGTATTATTATTTTATTATTACAGTATTATTGTTATTATTATTATTATTAATTTTATTATTATATTTTATTATTATTATTATTAATTCTATTATTATATTTTATTATTATTATTATTATTATTATTATTATTATTGTAATCATTATTATTTTATTTTGGTGTATAATTATTTAAAATTTTATTTACTATGAATAATTATTATTATTATAATTAATATTATTATTACATTTTTGCCCCCCAGGCCCCGATGTGGGTCAGTGATCTGTGCCTGGCTGGGCTAATAATCCCCGTATAAAAAATAAATAAAAAAATTCCCCACAAAAAACTTTCGGTTTTTAGAGCTTTTCGGTTTTCGGAATTTCGGATAAAGGATTGTCAACCTGTATTATGGAAGCGCATGCCTGAACAGACATACATCCACAGAGGCGAAAACAATGCCAGGATTCAAGGCATTCAAGGACTGAATTACGCTTCTGTTGGGGGGGAATGTAGCTGGTTTCAAGATAAAGCCCTTCATGATCTATCATTCAGAGAACCCAAGGGCTTTCAAACATGTCAGCAAGCACAAACTGCCAGTGTTTTATCGAAGTAACAAGAAAGCCTGGATGATCCTAGTACTGTTTGAGGATTGGTTCATGTATTGTTTCATTCCTCAAGCCAAGGAGTACTGTCTGCAACAAGGGATTGCATTAAGGATTTGGTTAATTTTGGATAATGCTCTGGGACACCCACCACACCTGGACGACATGCACCCTGATGTTAAGGTAGTCTACATTCCATCTAACACTACATTTCCGATTTACGACCTGGATTTGGGTCACTAACCCCGTCGTAAGTCGGGGAGTAGCTGTACATACAGTACATACTGTACTATAAATGGCAGAGTGGACAGTGTGTTTCTACTGCAGGCTAGTGTGTAGGTGTATGTACAGAACAGTATACAATGTGTACACTCCTTCCTTCATGGAGAGTGACAGTTAGTAACACCTGCTACAGGACAAAGGCAGGCCAGCCATCCTGTATCGTCATATCACTATTTGGCCTACCTGCCTACATCACAAGGTCAAAACAACAGCATCTGCTTGTGAGTACTGTAGTGTTTTAATAAATAAATACAGCTCTATGTCTGTCCGACTGCAGTTAAGCCTCTGTAGCAATAGTACTCCATGCCAAAGGATTAATCTAGACGTGGAAACATTCACATATGCCCGGAAAAACTTCCAAGATGTGCAAATTTTACCAGGGATAAGAGAATTTGTCCCAATCCCAGAAACGCTCAGCACCAATTGTTCCAGCTAACAGGGATATTACTGTACTGCACACTATAGGTAATGATTCATGGTTAAAGATACTGTACAGAGCAGAAAAATATTCTCTCCTATTCGTCCCCTATGCAATATATTACTGTATTTCTTCCACAGGGAATTAGCTACAGAAGTACAGTCACCCACTAAGTCCTGTTGCCTCTTCTGCCGCTCAACAAACCCTGAGATTCAGATCCATGAACCTGAAACAGTAGATACTGATGCAGTATTCTGTCCATAAAAGCTTCGGATTCACAAGACTGATTCTTGAGATTCATGGTTAAAAAGAGGCGACCGGATTTTTGTGACAGACTGTATCTCTCAAGAAGGAATGAAGTTTAAAGCACAACATACCAGTATTTCACGAGCACCATCAGGAACTAGATTTTTCTCGCACCAATCCTTGATGTAAATGGTGGTGGTCTGCATGTTGTCCACCTTCAGGTCTCCAATCCACACTCCCTGTACCTTCATTGTGCCTATGTGGCTCTCGCTAATATTGTAGAGAACCTTCTGACCTGAAATAATAAAACATCATAAGCCTTTGAAAGACATCTTTAAGTCTTAAAGACTATGAAAGACATCGTAAGACTCTGAAAGACATTGTATGACATTGAAAGACATCTTAAGACTTTGAAAGACATTGTATGACTTTGAAAGACATCATACTTCCACTAATGATGCCTGCTGCAGCTAACTTTAATTGATAATGACCACCTTTTAAAGAATAAAGAACTATACCACATAAAATACAGTGGCGACAAATAAACTGGGCTGATTTGCAACTGCAGCCACAGAGTAGCACTATCAACGCTCCTACAGTCGGGGTTATTGGGACTGGCGTCAAATTATCCACCCAAGCTACAGGTAAAACATTTTTTTTTATAAAGGGGATTAACCCACCTGGGCACAGGTCAATGACCCACATCAGGGCCTGGGGGCGAAGATATAATAATAATAATAATAATAATAATAATAATAAAATAAAATATAATAATAATAATAACAAAGAACCACAAATAAATGCAAAAAGAAAAAAAAATGATCATCAGTGAGAAACAATATATGTATGTTGTGTTGTCAAGTAAGAGAAACAATTGAGACCTGCAATTGTGTGTAAATGAGGCAGAAAGTCAGATCAGCAAACTGGGACTTCGTCACAATTTTGTGATGCCAATTAGCAGCAGGGTCTACCATTTAACAACACATTATGCTTCCAATATCTTCCCAGGCAGTAGTACCTCCCTGTTTGATAGCTGCCTACTATTTAATGTAAACTGATGAAAGATATTCAGAGTAATGGCCATCAATTATCGCACCCATTTAGAGTTTAATAACCTAAAAAAAATATTGTATATAGAACAAATTGGTTTTATTATACCTGACAAGCAACTCTTTTTAAGTTGTTTTCCTATCTTGGTACATTTCCACACATGCACCGTTTGTTGCTTGACGTTAAAACTTTTAAAATGGGCCGCCAGATAGTTTATGGACACCGTGTACACTCACTCCAAAAGGTATCTTTACGGAGAGGTCGGATGAATTTCAAAATGAATACCGCAACTCCTGTTGTTTCAGTTGGGTTGTCAAAATCCTTCGGTGGTTGTGTCATATTGTCTTACACAAAGCCGTAAAGCTATTCTTTGCAGCGAGTGAACAACGCAATAAACAATCACTGCACCACTTACCTTGAACAAGAACGTGCCACAGCTCAACGTTGCGGAGGCTCACGCCATACAGGTAACAGTGGTCGCGGGAGAAGTAATGCTGGCTTCTGTCCGCACCTTCAAGTCGGCCAACGTTTGAGTGGAGTTCTATTATGGAGCCTTTGAGGTGAGTCCTCGACAGTCCGTTCCACATCCCACCGACATCCTTAGGTTGACTTGGGGTACTAGAGCCGACAGAAGAAGTGTGTGTGGTAACGCTGGTTTTTTCATATGTTGAACTCTTGGGAACATGAGAAACGTATCCATTTTGAGGTCCTAAATACCCAGTCTTGTCTGCAACATGAGGACTTCTGTCTTTAGGCACAGCACCTGGTTGTGTGTGTGTGCCAGAAGCTTCCTCCAAGCTGCTTTCAGGTAGTCTATTGACATTTGGGGTACTCTTTGAGCAAATTCCTTGTTGTGGCACTGGAGATGAAAGTTCAGCTTGAGATTTGTCATCAAAGCTGGTTTTATTGACAGGGGTCACATAAACATTGCTCATATCAATGATGGCTGACTTCTGGGTCCCTGGTGGGGGAATGTGTGATGGTTTACTGCCTATCCACCCACAAGTTGCTAGCAGACTGATGGTGTAGTCACCGACTTCATAGTGACTTACCGGTACAACGTAAAAATTACAGGGCCGAGAACCTATGATTGCTAATTTGGTCCTTCTGGTCATTGGGCTTAAATCTATGTAGACATCCGAACGTGAAAATCCAATGTATACTTCTCCTTCGAGCTGAATGCTGTGCCACTGAGCGACTCCTCCGCCTTTGTGCTTCTGAATAATTTTTCCGGTTATATGTTTACCCCTGTACTTGTGGCTGGGCTCCTCACTATCCTCTTCCAGCCTGTCCTGGGTTTCTCCATCATCGCCTTCCCCTCGTGGCAACTGTGTGTCAGTCAGAGATATTTTTGCCAGTTTTCTATCGACCTCTTCCACAAGTGATGCAGTTTTTAACCTAAGTTCCAATCGCACTGGCGTCAAGTTTGGTCCTACTAATATATATTGTGGTTTCTTGCCAATCCATACCATAGAGGCAATGTAAGTGATCTTGTAGCCATCTAGTTGACTCACATGGGGAGTATAAGCATAAAGAGTGCACTGCAGTAAATGGTCAAACGAGTGTAACGATACACCAGTTTCCATGGCCAGACTATCAATCCACATCAATGTGTTCTGAAAAACTACATACGTTTTCTCACGAGTGTTTTCAGTGACACAGTCAACAATACCAACATTACCTTTTACATAAACTATCCAGCCACACATTATCTTGCCTTCTGAACCAGATTCTGTTCCTTCAACTATCACGTTTCCTTTTATCACCTCTTTCTGTACATTAATAGGCAAGACGTCAAAAGGCAAATCCTGAGATCGAGCAAATATTATCTGAGATAACTCTCTTCCAATTTTGTGTTGGTCAGCATAGAGCCAAATTGCTATTGCACAGTATCTCACAGTCCTTCCTAAAATCTCCATTGGTGCTACAGAATACCCAAGCACACACCACTTGGACACAGTTAAAATGTTGCGATAGTTCTGAAGATCACTACCACGGTGGATCTTGACTCCATTCAAGAAAACTGCCTTATTCCAAAATGCAACAGCAACTTCACCATGAGGAGTTTCACAGCCAATCAACCCACTTGATGCAGAGAGACGAATTAATCTGCCATAGAAATAACTGAACACAACCTCAGGGTAGAGAGACTTCTTCAAGTTTCTAGTGTCATTGAGTAACCTTTGTTGGTGTGCACTCTCGAGACTCTTTAAGTTGGGTGGTTCTCGTCCAATCCAGGCACAAACAGCCTCACAAACAACATGACAATTAAACAGTACCTTTGGTTCCTTCAGAGGTACTACCCAAGCTCTCACAGCTATCTTCTTCTTATTAAAGAATTCTGAAAGAGATGTGTGTGTTTTTTCAAACCTCTCACCATCTACATAAAGGTTTTTAATGGTAAAAGCAACAATACTGTTAAAGCAAATCATGAGTCCTTGTTGGTCATTAGTCACTAGTACACTTCCTGCAATGATTCCCTCAACAGCATGAAGCTCATTATACAGCCGCTCATTCTTGTCCTTATCATCTACCTCGGCTGAGGGTTTCTTCTTCCATTTTTTCAACTTTGCATATTCTTCCATATCCATGTGTCCCCCATTCATGCCATGACATTCATTCTCATCTGGAGAATTCATTCCATCATTCATACTGGGTGAGACTGCTTTTGGTGGAGACTCTGAAAGCAGAGGCTTTTTACCTATCCATACCATAGTTGCTCCCATTGCTACCAGAAGACCCTGGAAAAACTTAGGAGCTATTGGTCTGGCATCAATGTTATACTGACGACATCGATCGATAGAACTCAGCTTCACGTGGTCGGGAACTAATTCTCCATCCACGTACAGGACTGACTTCTCAAAATACACATTGGCCGAGTCCGCCTGGTTACTTCTACTCTGTAAGATGCCACAGTTCTCAGACACCCATGTTATCCATCCAGACATGTGATTATCAGACTCATCATTCACGGGTGAAAGATCTCTAGCGTGTCTATCAATGTCACCCTCAGGACTGGGGTTAATGGTATCGGCAATAATTTGGAAAAGTTTCATCATTATAAAAGGCTGATACTGATATTGCCAAAGAGCAATTGCTTGGTACTGAAGGGTGCCTGTGGGCAGAGGATGGGCCAATACAGACCATGTAAAAGATTCTAGGATTTGTAACTTATCAAGAAGGCGACAACTGGAGTGGAACTTGTATCCGTACATGTACAAAGATCTCCTCTTAAAGAAAATTTTGACTGTATGTGTAGATGAGACTTTGCTCTTTAGAACACCCGAAGCAAATGATAAACTTGTAATATTTCCCATAAAATGGGTAAATATTTTGGTTTTGTCAGATTCCTCAGTTTCTACCAACTTCCCAGCCAATATCCCATTTTCATAAAGTTTCTTGATGTTCTCCAAGTCCCTCGGTGCATTTCCGTACCACGCACAAACTGCCCGCCACACAACTTTAATGTGAAATATTATTTTTGGTTTTTCAAGAGGCACTACCCAGGCAGACAGGGGAATTTTTCTACACTTAAAGAAATCCGAGAGAGACATGTGGCTTCTAAATAATTCACCATTAATGTAAAAATTTTCTTTAGTGAAGGCAATGACATCGACAAAGCTTGTCATTAGTCCCTGTTGGTGGTTGGCCAGTAACAAACATCCTTTCATCAGACCCTCTTCCTGCTCCACTGGTACAAACGATGGGTCTAGGTCAGTCTGTGAACCGCCAGTTTCCTCATCATCCTCAGTTACTGTGGAGGGCTTCCCTCTCACACTTACTATGGAGTGCTTCTCTCTCTCACTTACTCGGGAGGGCATCTCTCTCTCACTTAATATGAAGGGCTTCTCTCTCTCTATTACATAATCCTTTGTATCTTTACTTGGAAAAGGAAATCCATGCAACTGCTCATACCTCACCCAAGGGACTTGTCCAACATTGTCCCACTGGTTCATGTGAATTAATTGGAACCTTCCCACTTGGGATTTCACTATTTCTGGCAAATCACCTGGCCATGCAAATTTTGCCACCCACATGTCCGCTGTGTAGTGTTGTTTGGGCCAGGTTGGCAAGTGAGGCTCTGGGCCTATAACCTTGGAACTGGAACCTGCGAGAACTTTCAGTTTAATTATGTATGCATGAATTAAAGTATCAAATGACTGACTAAACTTATTTGCCATCTTTTTGGTGAACCTTTGCCCGTTTACATAAAAGTCATCAAAATTAACCATCACGTTATTTCTGTGGTCGCCAAACAATATTTTTTCTTGAAAACATTTAAGGACCTTTCCTGTATAGTAACTTATAGGCATGAACACAATTTCATTCTTATGTTTAATCTCAACAAACTCGGGTGTGGGTCCCATCCAGGCACACTTAGCTTCCCAGAGACCCTTCCCCGAGAGCTTGTATGGCCAAGATGGAGGAACCTCACTTGGATACTCATCGACGTAAGAGTGGAATTCTGGTGCTTCATCCCATTCATTTTCCAGAACTAATTTTTCAAGACGAGCTATATCCTCTGCTGTTACATTTATTCCGTGGATATACAAGTTTCTGACGTTAACTACAGCAACATTCCTTTGGTCAGAGAAAAAGATCAGGTCTTTCCAAAACGCTCTCACTCTTCCTGTGTAATAATATAAGTTCTTCACCTTCGGGGAAGGCGTCAGGAATGGAGGTTTTACGGTCGACGACATTTTTCATTCAATAATTTATATGGATTACTCGTGAACCGAAATGTCTTATTTTTACCTTGACTACTGCAATGCATAATGTTTAATAATAGCCATTTTCAGAGAACCTTCATCACTTGCTTCCTCGTGTACCGACAGGTGACAACCATTTCACTTCAACACCACAGCCCTGAAAAAACAAACAAAAATATATCAGGTAACCACCCATTGCCGGCTCAAGCACAGTTAAACCCGGAAAAGGTAATTGTAACCCAACCGCCTGTGTTTCTTACTACAATGACAATAGAACAAGATATTTTTGTTGCCTAAATGTGTTGAATAAAACCATTGGCAGTCAATGAAATATAATATTAACAGCAGCATCCTCAAAGTAAAGGGGTCAAAGGCTAGTCAAGAACAACTGTCTCCCAACATTGAATGGCTCGGTCTTGAATAAATTTTTAACACAGATGAGACCGGTGTCTTTTTGGAGGTGTTTGCCCCATAATACTCTTGCTGCCACAAAGAACAAAACAATGTGTGGTGTCAGACAGTCTAGGTAAAGGTTTACTGTTCTAACACCCGAGATGCTGCTGGCACACATAGATGTAAACCACGCTACTGTACATGTGATAGGAGAGAGTACTATGCCATGTGCTCTACAAGGCTTTATAACACTAATTCACAGACTTGCAGTGATGTAAATGATGTAAAATTTACTGGTTATCCTGAGCAAGTGTTCTAGAGCACACTAATAAATAAATAAATAAATAAATAAATAAATAAATAAATATATATATATATATATATATATATATATATATATATATATATATATATATATATATATATATATATATATATATATATATATATACAATTAATTATTTGTTGCATTAAAAACATCCAAAAAAGGATGACAAGGATTTGTAACTTTTTTTTATTATTAGTTTGGCAGTTGATAATTATCCAGTCACGGACCTTTATTTAATTCACTATTTGTATGGCATTCATTCTGACGGGCCTAGGGTGATGTCATTATGCATCCTAATTTACAGAATTTGGTCACTTAAAGGCACAGGGGTCATGGATGACAAATGCTTTACATATAGGTGAAGTTTATAAATGCGTTGAAGAAGTTAAGTGCATTATGGAAATGTATTTAATGAACATAAAATTATGCCTTTACTTGTTTACATTCATTGTGTCTGGCATGGTCCCAAAGTACAGTACTGTATACCAGATATATGCTGCTAAAATGCCGGTATATATATAAATAATCATTCATGAAGTGAACCAAACTACAATAATCTACCTATCTTAAGATACTAGCATTATCTTCCTTCTATTTTGTAAAGGAAGACTAGATAATGTAAAAGTTGCATTATCAGGCTGTTATTGTTGTAATGTAGAATGTTCAAGTTGGGTCACTACAGACCAGTAGGTTCATGATATGATCTTTGAATGCAGGGGAGGAAGATTATGTGGAATTCATATAATAATGCATAGGTGGACCTCAAATTTAAATAGGTTAAGTTGGGTTAGTTAAGTTATATTTTAAGAATAAACTAAATTATGCATCAAAGCGCGAGATTTTATGCATGTTAAAGACGAGATTACCTCGGCTTTGTTAAGTCAGGAGTCGCTTCAAGAAAGGTTGTCCCAGACTAACAGAAAAACTCAACAAGGACCCAGTAAATGAGCTGTACTTCGTCTGCTAGAAATATTGGAATGACACAATCCAAACAAATGCCAGACAAATAACAAGTAAAGAGCCATGACCAGACAGGTAACCACTGCCCATTAATAATGTGATACACACAAACACTTACAGTGCCATCCTTTCCATACACACAGGCGGTAATTATTAACGAGATAACCGCCGCCAGATTTTTCATAGAAATAAATTTTTTAAACGCCACAATTTCAGTGTGTTTTATAGTGGACACTGCCGAGTTTGTGCAAATTTGTTAAAAAGTGGTTATTTGTAATTTCAACCTAACCTAACCTTAAATTATTTTAACCTGCCATGGTCAAACTTACTGTTACTTAGACTGGGCAGAAGAGGTGTGTTTTTCTTATTAATTAGTTTTTTATTGCACTGGAACCAATTCCTCTCTGGTCCAAAAACACAGGGATTCCCGTAGTCTCTTGTGGAGGGAAGGATGCCGTGGTTTTTTAAAAACTGGAGGGCGAGATCGTCTTTCCCGCTGAAATCACAAATAATGGTGAAATCAATGTTTTGGTCATCCTCCCATTAGGAAGTTGAAATTATCTGTTCAAAACACATCAAAAACCACCGGAAAACAATTTCAACCTAACCTAATCTAACCTGCTGGATGACCGAAATGATAATACCCAAATAATATCCATATAACATGTAATTACTACATTGAATCGGGGGGTGCTTGAGGACATCCATGCTGTTTATCCCGAATTTGCTAGCCCACACAGATTAGTCTACAATTAGAATATGATGTACAATGTATGTGAACCACTGACCTATATATACTGCTAATGAATATGTTGTATTTCTTTGTGTATGAACCTCTGTCCTGCATGGCAGTGAGAAGTGATACCACCCTCAGTGTCAAGACCTGACTATATTACTCAGAAAAGTCAAACTGTACTACAAGCTTTGTCAATAAATCTGTTACACTAACATATAACACCAGCGACACCCTTCACATGCCATGGTGAAATTGAATCTGGCACAGAAGAGCGCAGAGGAATGTTTTGAAATACGTCAAGATGATTGGATGTTTACACCCAGTATGCGGCATCACCGCCGACAAAGTAACATGCACCTAGACACCTGATTATCTACCAAATGAAGCATTTGCACAAAAAATGATTATAATAACAGAACTCACTGATGAAATATAGTAAGAAAATAAACATCAAAAGAAATTAACCACTTCTAGGTTATATTAGGTAGGTTAGGTTAAGACTGGGTGTTAACATTTCAGTTCATATGGAATGGTCACTGGTTCAAATACAAGCATGGCATCTCCGGGTGGATTATGGGCACGGAGAACCATTATTAACGGGAAAAAATTAGGAAAAATACAAAACATGAAAAGTGCAATTCCTCCACCTGATTTGGTTTGTTCTTGAGGTAAGAAATAAGTTTATTTTTATAGAGATTTTTTATTAGTTAATTAACCTGGACTTGTGTCTATTATTATTACCATAAATATTTTAGAGAAAACCCCCAGAAAGTATTAAAAACAAGGGTAACAGTGGATTTTGTTATTGATATTGTATTGAATTTACTTGGAAAGAGTCATGTAAGCCATGGACTCCAACACCTCCAGTGCTTCAGTGAGGTAACATAACCATTAATGACTTGAGCCAGAATGAACCGGTTTATTCCTACATGCACCAAACATAATTCAATGATGGCTTTTGTCTGTTAGCCAAGAACATGGAGACCACAGCCTACTGTTGTCTCCTAACTTGAATTATATTATCACCAAAATTCTAAAACCAGGTTTATGAACTTCCAAGTACAACCAAGAGAACTGCAGCACAATGGAGCTCCGTCCTTAATGTTTACCAAAAATAGTGTTAAGGGTACAATTGTAAACTTCAAATTTATAGCAACAAAGAAACCATCTAGAATTATTAAGACATGTTATTACACCCAAGTTCACCCACTGTCTATACTCAGCCAATATGACCATATTACTGGAATTTTTTTTTATTGCTCACTGATTATTTATAACAAGAACAAAATATAACTACTTAAAGGACACCAAGTTAATAATATGTTTTAAGTCTGGTTGAGTTCGTTACCATACGTTTTAATTCACCATTTTGTTCACAGGAACTAGACACCGCCCTTAAGTTTTTCTTAAAATAGGTGCTCTGTTTATTTCATGTTATATTTTGTTCTTGATTTAGTTATTGTTTTCCTTTACTGTGTTTGTTCATTGCTCGTGCACGTCTTACCTCAACCTTGATCTGGGAGGTTCCAGTAATGAACATCCCCCCTATGCTTACAATATACTCAAAAGGAAATCATAATATTTCGAGCGTTAAACACGTATCCATTTTAACCATAGTGAGATAAAACTAACACGCATACATATAAACAGACATACACCCAGTGTTTTAAGCTAATACAAGTTGAGTGTTCCTCTGTGGTCCTACTGGTCACCCGCCATGTGTAGGGTACCACCGTTAAAATTTCCCTCTTAACATTTTACTATGAACTAGCAAACTAACAGACTACACACCTCTGTCAACGAATTCTATTGCTGTCAATCAGTGTAATATATTAAGTAGAAACCCCTAAATACCTGAGAATGGCAGGACACGGTTAATATTGTAGGAACTGTCTAAGGTAAACCACACACTACTGGCCTGGACGTGTGAATAGACTACAGTGAGATCGTACCTGCGGTGGTGCCACGTCTTTCTTCTTCTCACTCCCTCTGGGCTCTCATCTCACATACACGCTAGTTAATTCTTCTTTATTACACTTTCTGACCATTATTTTTCCATTCTAGGTATATTTCACAAAGGTTGGGGGATGTGAAACAACAAAATATTCTTGTGGGAGAAATTTTTATAGATATTAGTTTTATTGTACATCAAAAATAAAATTTCTACTTCAAGTTAATCATAATATGCACACTCAACCATACACACACAGCTACTGTTCCATCACTGAGCCCACTCCTACTAGTAACGTTCCTCTAAACAACACCGTTATGTGAATGTATGGTGTTTACACTTTATTTTACTCTTTATAAAATGGCTATTATTGTCCGTTGCTTTATGTGTTTGATGTCATTTGTCTTGATAAACATTATAATTAATGAAAAGAGAAGAAGTAGCCGTGAATGTGTTCCCCGAAATTTTGTATTTGTGACTTCAGTGAATTAATCTTTATGTCAAACTTTTTCCACTCATATTTTGAAAGTTAATGTTTGCTAGCAGCTATATATTTACATTAATTATATATGGATCTATTTGCGATATATCAATATTAATAGAACATTAAAAATGAGCCAATGAGCTTGAGGAACTAGAGGGAGGGGGCAGGGGGGCGCCTATTACCGCCCAGGAGATTTAATGATTGGCGCCAGCGGAAAAAAAAAGACTGCAGTATGCAAATCAGTCCTTTGCTTGGTTCCTTACACTCAAATTAAATCTTATTGGTCAGTTTTCTTTTGTTATTGGCAATTGGGAGTCATTTATTCGATAAAGAAGTAATTATAAAATAAATTGAGCCATTAGTTGCACTCTGGCTCCCTAGTTAACCTAAATCCCGCCTTTTTCTATTTCTATTTTCTACAACTGGCGAATTGGATGTCAGAGGAAGTGCCTTACCCAGACTGTTATCGCCATTTTCGACAGTATTTTGTGTATATTATCTGAGAAAATGACTGACAAGTGTGAGATAAGGAATATGTATTCAGTAGAGAAGGTTTGTGGTGAGTGGAAGACATACCGAGTGATAATATAGACGAATTTAATGAAGAAATGTGTTGATCCAAAAAACTCAATGTCGAGGAGGATGTCACGTATTTTCAAGAATTATTTTCATGGGATAACAGGTATGTGTTATATTTATTATACAGCGCATATGTTACCTGTAGGCCTATGTGTGTGCATCCGTCTGTGTTCCATGCAAGTATCACAAACCACGTAATTATCACACGTAAACGAGGGCTTATAACAAACTGACAAGTAGGTGAGAGCTTAATATCATTCCTACCACTAATCTATTATCATATTCGAATAAGACGTCTAATTATAAGATAATTTTCATCTATTACATTACCGGCGGAAATGTATAATAACGGAGATAGCTTTTCCAAATGAATTTCTATTTTGTTCCATTATTTCCCGCCATTATTGTCTGCCTCTCACCATGGAAGTCTGCGATGGAGGTCACTTAAAGTATATGGAGCTGATGGAGAGTTTTGGGGGAAAAAAAACGTAGAAACTATAGCATTTTTTCGATCGCATGGTGTTCTTCCAACCTCAGTAAAGTGTACTTAGAGCAAGACGGAATGTAAATATCGTAAAGACCAACATATGTGGCATTGGGTAAGAATCCCAGAATGCAACGACCAACAAGAACCAGGCCAATAAGGTAAGAAATAGGTGATTCGCGCCAACCATTTTATCAGTTATCAGTGCACACATTTCTCTGTTCTAAAGACTGCATAAAGCAACTTCCTCTGGATTTTTTCTAATGAGTCAACGACGTAAAGGCGATAATAACGAGGTGATCAATGCCATTAAATCAGCTCTCCAGATGTGATAGTGTGTCTTCCAGGAGTTTCTTTACATTCTAAGGGCCCAAGCAGCCACCTTTGAGAAGCTAGCAGACCTTTTCGACTACGTGGATGCTACTGACCTAACCTAACCCAACCTAATCTAATCTAATTTAACCAAATCTAACCTAACTTAGCCAACACTCACCCTAACCTAACCTTTTACTAACCAATAATCAAATTCAAAACCCGGTATATGCGGAGGACTATCAACCTTATCAAGTCAAACCATATTTTAAGTCGTATAAGGCTATCTTGTGCCTTGGCTACAGATATATCCGGTCTTTAACGTTATCAATTAAATCGGATGGACCGGGTCTATAGCTGCAGTCATTTTTCGTATCCCGCACGAAAAGTTGGCAGTCGTTTTCTTTGGTGTTGTCCAGATGAAGTTTTCTATGATAGGCAAGGAAACTCACGCTGAGATATTTATACAGTAAAATAGTCATACAAGTACACATTGGTTCAGCACATACATAGACAGTGTAGGGATACAAACAGTGGTAAAAAATAAATCACTAACCAAAGATAATTCGGGAAAGCTTGTTTCTCTCACCCCTGATGCGTGTATGAGGTGATTTTCAATAACAATATCCAAAATAGACAAATGTGTGACTATATATGTGAACAAACACTCATCTTGTTTTGAATTATACTGTAGCTGGGCTTTTAAATTAGGTGTTATTTAAGGTAGAGTATCGTGACGAACAGGAAGAATCCAAGTGATGTATATATGAGAGCTATATTGGTTTCAAGCCTGGCATTACCGTTTTCATTATAGGCAAGAGTGAGCCCTATAGATATTTCACTCGGGTATAAGCCAGGTTCGTTCTTCTACCTTACATGAACATCAACTGCAGATTAACCGCCCTAATGCTTATGTAATCTCACCTAACATGAAAATTCGCCCCCAGCGTATTTCACCTTAACATTAACCACCGTCATGCTTACCTAATCTAACCTAACCCAACCCCCAGGGAGCGTTCGGTTGTTTAATCTTAAGGTGAAATAGCTGGGGAGGAAGCTTCATGGTCAGGCTTGCACCCAGGTAATTATGTTTGCTGAAATAAAATGTACCGTATACGTGGCTGCGGATACTGTTCCACAAAGCAACTGTTTACAGAATATCATATTATATTCTGTTACCAGTTAGAAGGATAAATTTTGTATTGCGAGTATAAAAAGTGTTATATTGGTTGGCATGGTGAACAGCGTGTAGAAAAGTCTTGAATAAAGGGCTTATATATGAAATGTAATACAATTATCCGTTAACAATGTTTATTTTGTTCATAACATTGCACAATTTTATTTTTAACTAATACTATTAACCAGTGGCGGCTCGTGCATAGGGCTGCAGAGCTGCAGTCCCCCAGACACTCACTGCCAGGCGTATGATTCCTTTAGAGAGACAGCTGAATAATACACTACCAACAAATATATCATTTTAGATGTTATTTAATTATTTTCAATACGTTGCTAAGTGAATTTTCATTAAAATCAGACCAAAATTTAAGTTACTTTCATAGTTGCTGTCAATGCTGTACGATTCATGTCTGTTATTAATTGGCGCCGCCGCCGCCGCCACACTTGAAGCAGCTCAGTCTCGTACAACGTGTGGACGGTGTGGTTAACTCGTGCTTTCTTTAATTACCCTTTGACGATGGAAAATCGAGTGAAGTATTTGCAAAACATCAACTTTTCCCAGCTGACATTAAATGAAAAGACTGAAATCAAAGCAAGAGGAAGACCTACACCAGTTTTATCCATTCAACAGAACAGTACAAGCAGGAACAAAGAATATACACGCCAGTTTAACATGAGTGTTTATGGCTCTGTGGTTGTGACGAGGCAATAATCTACAGGCAACATTTTCAGACACTGTCAAGTTGCTGAAAATTTTAATAACTCCAATGACAACGGCAGAAGCAGAAAGGTGCTTTTCAACTTTGAAGAGAATTAAAACTTTTTTGCGCAGTACCATGGTGAATGACAGACTGTCTGCTTTAGCAGTGATATCCATTGAAAATAAAATGATCACAGAAATGAAGGATTTTAATGAAATAGTAATAAACAATTTTGCTACATCGAAGAGCAGACACGCCGACTTTATTTTCAATTAATACTGGTCCATCACCACCAACACTACTACCATGCCCTGGGAATTAGTGGACATCAACTACAACTCATACCTGAGGTAGGTCACCTACTGTTGTGTGAGGCTTGCAGTCCCTCCATTTTATTTTTCACGAGCCGCCACTGCTATTAACTATAGGGATGCGGTGTCCGAGTAGATACAGCGCTGGCCTGTCCAAAGGGTTGTAGGTTCGCTTTATGGCATCCGGGTACCTAACTTTATAGTTGGGGGGAAAGGATGGTCACTTGCAGTGTCGGTCAAATTGTCCTTGTGTACAGTACCAAAAGCTTATTATTTACTTTCCTGTACCTACACTGCCAGGATATTGGGACTCATTATCACTAATCAGAGTGATTTAGTAGAGTGAGTGGATATTCTAGTCTTGAACACTAAACAAATACATGAACAGCGTCGCGGTGACATCATACCTTACTGGCACATTGTTTCTTCTCACTGTTGGCCAAGTCACGTCAACTCTTCTAACCACATTAATTATATAGTTTGTTTTCATGCACCAAACTACTGAATATTACCACCTGTTGTAATTTCATTGGTGTCTTACAGGATTCCTTTATCTACTGGTGTCTCGGTCTCTGCTGTCTCGATAAAACCCTGTTGTTGTTTTAGTAACGTCTTACGTATAGGTACTCCTGAATGTGCTGCTTAAGGATCTGTTAACCAAAATTTGATATCGTGATTATAACTTGTTCAAATGGCTTTTAGAAAATGTTCAAATGATTTTTAGAATATTTTAATTACTTTTGCAATGCTAATTACTCGCCACTTATGGGTTTTCGAGGTCATTTCTTGGTGCTTGTGTATTATTCTGGATGTACTTAAATAGTTAGGCACATTAAATTTTAGTTCAGAGAGAAAAAGTATTTTTGGCCAAAAATCCTTTAAGGCTTTAGACTTACAATTTTTGTCATTTCGGCCAAAAAATGGATTTTGTTCAAAA